CACTCACGTCCATAAATTAAGGATAATGCAAAATCAGGCAAAGGAAGAGTTAGGAGCAAAACAAATTTGACTTATTTGTAAAGCTTATTTATTAAACAAAAGGTAAAGAGCAAAAAAAGATGCTATATGTTTGATATTATTAAAAAAATTAGCAATTTTTTTCTCCCTTGAGCAAATTGAAAAAAAAAAAAAAAAAAAAAAAAACTTATTTACAAAAAAACAATATTACATGGTTGGTATGATTGTTAATATATTGTATGTCTCCCAGACGATGCAATACAGTCCATACAACGCCTAGGCATGCTGAGTATCAAATTATCGATCTGATCTTGGATATTACACGACTCAAAAAGCAATGCTCTCCGAAGTTCTGCTAGACATGTAGGTGAAGGTTGATGGGCTGCAACTCATCGGCCAAGCATGTCCCACACATGCTCTACTGGATTCAAGTCCGGTGAGAATGCTGGCCAGTCCATACGGGTGATATCCTCCGATTGAAGGCATTCGCTTACGATGTTTGCACGGTGAGGACGGGCGTTGTCATCCATAAACACAAATTGTGCACCCATGCTGTCCCAAAACAAACGTACATGTTGTTCCAGAATGACGTCCCAATAGATTTAGCTTGTCATGGTTCCAATTTGAACATGCAGGTCAGTTCTGGAACCCAGAATAATTCCACCCCAAATGAGCACTCCTGCACCACCATAACGGTGTTGTTCAATGATGTTTTCTTGGTGGTAACAGGCACCTGGAGCTCTCCAAATGAAAGTCCGGCGAGAATCAGACTGCAAGCTAAACCTGGACTCGTTGGAAAACATCACACAAGCCCACTGTTGCGGTATCCACAATGCATGCTTTCTACTCCAGGCTAACCACAAGCGACAGTGAGTTGCAGTAAGTGGAATGCATCTGACAGGTCTAAGAGCATATAGACCAATCTGCCTTAAGCGTCTGTACACCGTCTGCCTTGAAATTGTCGTAAGAGTGGCTGAAGAGAGCTGATGAGACAGGTCTGAGGTTGTGCTCTGCCTGTTTCTTTTGGCACTAACTGCCAAATACCGGTCCTCATTCGGCTTTTGTAACTCTGGGGCGACCTGTGCTGTAACGTCTACTTACATTACCATCATCTTGGAATCGTTGCCAAAGCCTGGAGTTGACACTCTGGACAATTCCAAGTTCGTCTGATACTTCCAGTTGGATACGCCCACATTCCAGACGGCCGATAATTCTACCACGTAAAAAATCGTCCAAATGTGTCCTTTGTGTCATAACTATTCGGTTATTGCACTGAAATGCTTAGAAAGCGCCTTCGAACAATTTTACTTCTTTGCCTGTATTCCTTATATATCACTCTCTTACACTCTCGTCATTGTGACGTACCATCGGTGTCATCTGGTTACTTCCTGAAATTTGCATATTGATTCTTGAAGATGTGTGTAGTGATTTTACAGGTGATATATTTATTTTAGAGTTCGATTTCCGTGTATCCTTAATTTATGGACATGAGTGTATTATAATAATATCATAAATTAAATAATTATAAAGCATACAAATTATATTTTTAATAAATTACATCAATATATCAAGATGTCTGAACTAGATTGGAAAATTTAATAGAGTTCACTAGCGTGCAAAAAATTATTCCTTATCAAAGTGTGCTAAAAATATTTTTTGTTAATTAAAGTAATCATGTAAATGTTTGCAGAAATTAAATTTAGTTAAATTTAAAAAAAGCTTAGCATGAAATCTATTATAGCAACATTACTATGCATTTGGAACACTGACGTATAAATTGTAAATAAATTATAATTATTATGCTAAGAAGTTTTTCTAAAATTTATCTAGAAGAAAGGAATTAGATAAACAATACTGCAAATTAATATAATCAATCAGGCCTCTCAATAAATAAAAGTTTATTTTTTTAACCAAAAATTAAAAACTGGGATGCAAAAGTTTGAGTAATATACTGGGAAATATCAGAACATATAATTAATTAGAAATGTATAATTAAATTAATAACAAGCTAATTAATAGTAACATTAAGCTTAATTTCATTCAATCTAAAACAAGCAATCGATCAGGAGCTCCACATAACTGAAGTTTTAATGCTATTTTACGTAGATTTGCATATAAAATAAAAAGTTGCACTTGTGAAACAAGTGAATAATGTACTGATAGTCAACAGGAATTAAAATGCAGTGGTTAAAAATATAACTACTTGTCAGAAGGTATGCAAAGTTGCCATGGCTGCTTGAGAATTGAATGATTATAGAAACTCATAAAGTTAAGCGCTACAGTGTGAAAAGAAAATTCTGGAATAAACATGTTAAGAAAATTAGATGGAGAAATAATCCTTAATTTATTGATATCCATATAAACTTCACTGGGACTAGAAACTCGGGCTGAACTACCAATGTTTAGTGACTTTTTTGCTTGCTCATAAGACCTTTTGAAAGTAGGTTGAACAATATATTAAAAAAAAATAGAAGATACAGCACACGTAAGAACAAAAATGGGCTGAATTAGAGATTTACATGTTTAATGAATGAGTTAAACTTAGCTGTATGCCATTATGAACTATTAGGAATGTAGCATAAAAGCATGAGTGAAGAAGGCAATGGCAATCTAAATCATTGTAATCTAAATGTATAACATTATCAGTACCTGCTGTTAATTTCAATACTGCTGAAAAAATTATAAATGAATTATTTATAAATCACATGAACTCGTTGCATTATAAATTCAACAGTTAGAAATATTATTAGCATGATTTAGCGACCATCTTTGCTAACAAACAATTTCAAGTAATTAATTTTACAAATAATTCAGCCTGAAACTAGGTTAGAAAATAAGTTACATGCTGAAGATTAAGCTTTGCCAAGGTGTTAGAAACATCTTCTGTTAACTAGAGTTGTGATGGAAGAATTTGTAAAAATTATCATATAAATATAAATTGCCATAAATACAATACAAAGTATATAAATTCTACATACATGAAAACTTGAGTACATTGCAACAATATGTGGAAAAGGAATGGATTAAAAGGGAACTGAAAATCCCAGGATATGAATATAAGGGAGTTCAATTTTTTTTTTCTGTTAATTATGAAAATTTTGCGGACGCTCATAATTATTTATTTATTAATTAAATGTGTATTAGAAATTAAATGTATGCCAAAGTAAATCAGGTGGAAAACAGAATAAATATTTAAACGTTTCTAGTATTAAATATGGAATTTATAACAAAGTTAAATAACCTTAAATAACTTCAATGACTTAAAAATGGAAAGCTTAATACGGGAATATATTGCAATATTATTAGTGTGAATTTAGAACGACTTAAGAAGTCCAATTTTTAGATTTAATAAAGAGAATTTTTTAAATTAAATGAGAACTGTTTACCTAAAATGGTAAATTTGAAAGTTAAAACCATTCTGCTATCTAAGAAGATTTGTTAATATTTATCTAGACAAGAAACTTATTTAAGGTGAGCTATAAGTCTGTAATTTGATAGGTTGATTATGTATCAGTTTTGTGTATGTCATTAATCTCAATTTTACTATTCAAAACTGATATAGTATGTATATATATGCGCATATATATATATATATATATATACATCAGCGATTAAAATCTACAACTTGGAAAGTTTTTAATTCTTACAGAGAATAAAAAAAATCTGGCTCATCATTGCTTTAAGCATCATAAAACTTTAAAATGAGTGTAAAAGAAATTTATTTTTACTTTAGCACACACCAGACTTTAAATTAATATTTGTTTTGCATGCACAGTTTTTATAGTATTGATAAACGAAAACAAAGGCTTGCAGTCTCAATAGAATGTCCCATTAATGGCAATAAATGACATTTTGTAGCAACCAATCTTCTTGGGAAAGAAATAGGGGACAAGAAACGTTGCACACTTCGTGGATTAGAAAAGAGGTGGACGGGGATCTTCGATCAAATTTGGCGCAGTTCGTACCCTACCTTCCTATGTACTGATGCTGCATAGTTTCTACTTGGTATGAGTCATAATAATGTTAAGCCATACCATGTTCCATTGTTTTATTGAGTGTTGGGACACCTCCCAACTTTTTTTTAAGTGCATTTTTAGATCAATAAAATGGACTTGTAATTCTCAATCAAAATATTAGGTCTAGCTTTTTCTAGCCTCTTTTGTATTATATGCCTGCCATTAGTCTGGTTTAGTAGTTGATTTCTCTTCGGCGTTCTTCACAATCATTTCTATGACAGTTCTCACATCGCTGTTTGTATTTGAATGAGGAAATATTTATGAGAATAAATAGACATTTAAATATTTATTTTTACGATTTCATGGCTGTGATCAGAGCTCTATCTGATTTTTGAGTTTATAAACTACACAACTTCTAAAGATGGTATTTGGGAACACTAGGTCCAATTTCCAACAGCCATCCCTTTTTCTCATGCATTTTTTCATGTTGCATGTCCAATGTGCTCATTACCGATATATCAGTGCATTTCTTGAATTGTTTGTGCATGTGCTGTCATGAGGTAAAATACCTTTTTTCTGAAAGGATGCTGCATTTTTTTTTCATTTCTTGGTAAGTAAAATAAGTTATGTTTTGCATTCAAAAAGAATGAAAATTATAAGTACATGATTTCAGTTTGCCTGTGAATTTGAAATTATTTTTCTTGAAATAACTTATCTCTGTGACCTGTTAAAGTAGAGCTGGTTTTCAGTCTCTCTCTCTGTTGTAATAACAAAATACTATTATTTTAAATACATTCCTTAGTTAGTTTTATTAAAAACTTATAAAACTTTAAAATGCTGTACAAGTCTTGATAAACTGCTTTTATATTAAGCAAGAGGGTCACAAGATACAATTTTATCTTGTGCTATTATTCTATCAAGATGCTAGAGAAGCTGTGCTCTGAACTGAATATTAGTATGTTTTATTTATTTATGTGTGTGTGTGTGTTTGTGCATAAGCTATTCTATCTATTGATACAATTCTAGGTATTGCAAGATATAAGCCGTCCTCATGTGGAATCATTTAATTACATTCTGAAAGAAGGTTTAAAAAACATGATTGAGGTATGTATCTTATAACAGTATTAATCTTACCATAGTATGTATAAAATTATGCATTGATATTGTGACCACAATATTTTGTGATCAATCAAAATCACAATATCAGAGGATGTGTGATGATATCTATTGCGTCAATTCAATAGACAATATTAATCACCGTGTAAAGCATTCCAACAGTAGATAAGCAAAATAGCACTTACCTGAATCATCGGGTTCTTCATTCAGGTGTATCCAAAAAATACGCACAGGTTCAGCTTTTTAAAACTTTAATCTGTACACAAGTTACAAAAGAGAGGTTATTACAAGAGATCAAAAAATACGCTCATTTCCTAAAGCATTCATAAAAAAACTAAACTAAAAATAGAACACTGATTACATCATAAATCATTGAGTGCGTGGTAAAAGACATACGGAATCAGTTCCAATTGTTATGCGCGCGCATAGGCGGAAGTATCACGTATCCAAATCTCCCACCTTGAGATTCGAACCAGGGAATCGCAAACCCTAATTCTAGGTTTAATTAATCGTCCATATCTGGATCTTTTTTCAGGAACAGTCTCTGGGAAAAAGTCATTAACAGTTTGTGGCTTAGGAGTTATCTTTTGACTATACTGGGTTGTCAGAAGTGGTCTCTGAAGACATTTTCATCATCTTCGGTTCATTAAGATAGAATCTTTCTGCACAGGTATAAGGGGGTCACTTTTATCAGTACTTAAGAGGTATTAACCTAAGCATCAGCGGAGAAGTTCTTTTTCATTTTTATTTCTACTAGTCGAACTGTCCATCTTTAGAAGGATAATTCACCACCCTAGTCAGGGCATTCAATTTTCTGACATTATCACTAGAGCCAGAAACAATATCACCAATTTGGATTTCTGATTTTTAGAGATTCGATGATTGGCGTAAATCCCCTAAAATATTCATACGAACAGTTTTTCTTAAATCTTGTTTCACATGTTGATGGTAAACATGTCTTTTAATTAACGAAGACGAATCCAGAACATCAAGATCTGGGATTTCTGTTTCTTTAAGATCATGCAAAAACATAGAGGAGGTAAGTGGAGTTAAATCATCAACGTCTTCCGAAATATAGGTTAAAGGTCTCTGATTAATCACACCTTCAATGTCAGAAATAAGGGTGTGCATTTCTTCTAAATTAAATGAGCTTTTACATAGAACCTTTCGTAAAATTTCTTTGATTATACCTATCAGACGTTCCCACCACCCACCCCACCATGGGGCAGACGGGAGATTAAATTTCCAAATGATCTTTTGAGATCCACGGTATTGGGAAATGATGTCCCAATCAACTTTCTTCAGTAAATTCTCAGCTCCTGAAAAATTAGAACCATTGTCACAGTAAAAGATGTAAGGTCGACCCCCTTCGTGCGATGAACGTCTAAGAGTTTGCAAGAAATGGTTTGTCAATAAAGATGTAGTCAACTCCAAACGTATAGCTCGGTAAATGGCACAGGTAAATATAACAATCCAAGCTTTCTTGCCATTTCTTAGGATTAATGTTCCAGCGTGATCCATTTCTGAGACGGGAGAGGAGCTTTGATGATTAGTTTAGGACGCAAATTAAATCGTTTACATATTACACAGTTTCTAATTACATTTCTTACTGTCTTCCTGCATTTAAGAATCCAAAAATCTTCTCTTAAGTTGCTCATCGGGATTTGAACTCCTGCCTTATTTATTTTTTCTAGTGTCAAGATTCCAGAAATTCGATTAGACTTTTCAACCTTACAATTGGTAAAAAATTGATACACCCATGCAGTGACTCAAGTAGTTGGTTGTACGAAGAGAATCTATCATAATGTTTTTCCTGGCGTGACATTTCGTGATTAACTGTGCTAACACTAGTCTTTCTTTTTGTAAATTTATTATATCGAAATCAGGAACTACGTTAGAATTTGGCCATTCTTCCATTGGTTTTCTCAGCCACGATGGTTCTTCCCACCATAAAAACTTTAGATATGGTCGATCACTCTCACTCAGTCCAATTTGTAGGAAGGCTCTACAAATGTCTGCAACAATGCCTGTTTTCTTTAATCTAAATCGATTCATGATGGTGGGAATGAGCTTGACAGTGTTGGGGCCCTTTTCCAGGCAGTCATCGATAGAAGCCGAGTTCTTTTCTCTGGCCAATCCATCAAAAACCGGTCTCGCTCTTGTAGTGGAATTTTCTTTTACTACAGCCCTGTGAGGTAAGAAGGGTTCACTTTCTTCATTACAGGAATTCTTAATTTCTTCAATAATGCCTTCTTGAAGGCACTCTCTAAACACTTCTTCGTATGCTTCTAAGTTTCCATTCTTCTTCACTGATTCAACGCAGCCCTTTAGCCTTCGTTCTGCAACATTTTTGCAAGTGGGCAAAGGAGGATGGCCTTGTATCCTCGGAAGACTCACAACGTACCTTCTATAGACATCTTTTTTTACACTTCTGTTAAAATGTTCTTCAGCTGCCATCTCAAGCTCTTGTCGACTTCCCTTCTCTCCAGGATCCAAAATTCCAAGTGTATCAAGTCGCCATAAGTCTGAAATGTTTGCATCGTTTATATGTAGCGACATAATGCTATTCGTGCTATCCGAAGTTTCGATCGTATCGGTCTTACCCATTAGTGTCCATCCAAGCCGCGTTTCCATCAAGACTAGACCTGAGTCTAACTGTTTTATGTTTCCAGTATACAGTTTACCTGCGACATCAGCCCCTACGAGTCCATCAATCTCGTCAGGAGAGAATTGATACAACAGATCTACTTTATCATTCAAATCGGACAGGAAAATTTTATATTTCTTAACCTCAATCGTAAGTTTACTACGTGGTATTTTTGGGACTTTGGAAAAAAATTTTTCTTGACTTAACACCTCGAAATTACATCAATAATTATCCAAAAAGTCACTAAGGCGAATCAAATATCTCTTATGTGTTTCCGTAGTTTCTATACCGCTGAACAAACTATGTGTTAAAATTTCTTCACCTATACATTCATATCCCATTTCCATTATTGCAAAATTTGACAAGTAAGATTTACTGCTGCCTGAATCAATTAGTACTCTTACGTATTTTGTTTTATATTTATTCCTAAGACAAACAATAAGTGTTTACAAGAGAACTTTATGAGTAGCTGTTTTGTTAGAGTGGAGTCCTTACTTTTGATTTGTTTCTCCTCAACCTGGAAAGATCGGTTTGAATTTTCAGGATTACATTTATCAGTACATATTCATTTAAAATGACCCTTATCGCAAATCTCACATGGTGGTACTTTCATTTTACAAAATTGAGAAATATGCTTTGTTATTGCGAAACATCTGAAATATGCCTCTTTTTAACAACATTTGCTTTTTCTCTTCATAAGGCAAATTATCAGCATACCTACACTGGCTACTCATGTGTGCTTTTTTACAAAATACACAAGTTTCCTTTTTAATATCTGAAGAGTTACATAACTCTACAGCTGGAGTAAATCTTTCCCGTCATGCTGACACAGGTGAAATAATTTTTATTTCGGTTTCACGATTAAATCCGGTCCGTGCTAGACGCACTTTCTCTTCGCTTTCAATTTCGTGACATAAAAATTTCATCAGGTTATCTAACTTATCGACAGTTTCTTTAGATGTTAGGGATATGGAATTTAAATTCGTTTCCCAAACTCTCAATATGCCGACAAGCACACAAGATTCAATCAATGGATACAATATTGAAGAATAATTTGCGCTGGAAACACCTAACATATTTAAAGACCTTAAATAAGTTTCAATCTTATCGTACAAGTTTAAAAAGAGGCATCTCATTAGGGCATTTGCTGAGTTGCGTTATTCATCGTCAACGAAAGAACTTCTCTCAAATATACACTTCGATTAACATGTCCAGTTCGGACGAAATCTTGTCTTTAAACATTGTATTACGTTTTTCATAACTATCAGCTGTAGCCGGAAATGATTCAACAAGTTCTCGCTTCCCCTGAACTCCTTTAAAGTAGCTTGTAAAAAAATACTGAATACTTATCCTCATTCGCGATTTCATTATCATTTCGTTATGTATCTTCTCAAATTCTGCCCAAAATGGCAACCATTCTTTGATATCACCGCCGAACAACTTAAATTCTATTTTAGGAAGCTTAAAGTTCTGTTTCGATGAATCATTAACTATTTGAGAATTAGATTTGTATCAATAACAGTAGAGTTTTCGTTTGACAAGTGAACCCGTTTTTTCACTCTAAATTTCCACAACAGAATTCTTTCGTTCTTTCGCAATATTCTTCTGTAGTTTGAATCTCTTCGTCAAATTCTTCCGGTTTCAAAGTACTTTTGATTTCAGAATCAGCTATCTTAAGGGATTCAAACTTATCGTTCAAGAGTTCTAAGTCTTCTTCTAATGAATTTATATCAACAGAAGAATTATCTAGTTCAAATTCTATTTTCTTAAGAATGCTGGTAATGGATGTTCTCAAACCACCTCTCTTTTTCTTTAGTAATATCTTCTACTGACATGTTTACTGAATCGAGCATATAACATGTAAAATCTTAAAGGAATTCAATTAGTGCCTTTCAAATTCAAAATACATAAATTCATTAATATCAATCTTCGCTTAATTCGCTTTTGTCTCGGCACGAGATGCCAAATTAATATTGCATCAATTCAATAGACAATATTAATCAATGCACAAAGCATTCCAACAGTAGATAAACAAAATAGCACTTACCTGAATCATCAGGTTTTTCATTCAGGTATATCCAAAAAATACGCACAGGTTTAGCTTTTTAAAACTTTAATCTGTACACAAGTTATAAAAGAGAGGTTATTACAAGAGATCAAAAACTACGCATCCATTTCCTAAGGCATTCATAAAAAAACTAAACTAAAAATAGAAGACTGATTACATCATAAATCGTAGAGTGTGCAGTAAAAAACTTACGTAATCAATTCCACTCGTTATGCGCGCGCATAGACAGAAGTATCGCATATTCCAGCAATATCCTCAGACACTGATTTTGGT